CATACCCACTTCGTAACTGTTTGAGAGGATGCCCGGAGGCGTGTTGGTGTCTCTCACTGGAATCTCAGTACCGAGGGGGCTTTCGAAGCTGCTCCCTCTCTTTTTTCTTTTCTTCCGACAGTCTATCATCACCCATTGTTTCCCCAGCTAACATAACGGCTGAGCAAAGAAGCCTGTCCCCAATATGATGTTTCTGGTCTCCAGCCGCCCACTGGCCTCTTCTTGGAAAGGGCAGGGGGATGTGGAAAAAAAATTCTGGTTCCCTCCCCTCAAGGCTGAGGGCTTTCGCTTTCGCTTCCTCCTCCGACGGTTTCTGGGTCCCAGGCGACAATGGCGTTGCTGGAGGTGTGCGGAGCCCCCCGAGGACAGTGGAAGGATTGCGCTGTCCCGACCCTGGGAAGCCAGTTTCGCTCGGACCCTGGACACTACAGCTTCTCTCTGCGGTCTCCGGAGTTCGCCTTCCCCCGGGGAATGCAGGTTAGGGCTGTAAAGAGAATCCCGGGTGAGGGGGAGACGGGGAGTAGGGCACAGAGGAAGGGAGAGTCCCCCTTGAGACTACCCAGAGGGGGCCATCCTTAGTGAAGGAGAACCACGTCCAGGGCCCCGTGCCAGGGAGGAGGACACGTGGGACTCGGGAGCTGATCGCTTGCCTGAGGATTAGAAAGTACAGATTAGGGCAAAGAGTTAGAGGTGTGGTGGAGGGAGACAAGAGAGCTTTCCAGCCAGCTCTCCCTCACACACGGATCATAAATCACAAAGCCTTTCTCCCGGGGCTCTCATGGGCGGGAAAACCGGGGAACTTTGCTAGCCTCCTCTCAGCCACTCACTGTTGTGCGTCTTGGCTCAATCACTTCGTCTAGGTCTGGGGCATCGCTTCTGTAAAATGAGGATATTATTAACAAAACGTGTTGTGAGTGTTAAATGACCTATGAATGGAAAGAAAAAGCGCATTAAAGTTGCCCTTAAAATGTTTACTTATGGTGAACATTTATTTCCTTTCATATCTATTGTGCTGGAAGATGGAAGAGGTTGGTGCATGTGCTTGTTCTTTTCCTTCTCCCAAGTCAGATCTTGGTAGAGATTGGTTATTAACTGTTTCGGTTATTCATGGTTGGAGAATTTCTTCCCATCTCCTCACTCACAGACTCTTGTGAAACCTTTTCTGGAGACTTGTGTTTCAGAAGTTTTCAGTGCCCCTTCGTCTACCTTTTCTCTCTAATTAGCCCACTGAATTCCTCCAGTCCCTTGGTGGGAATGGTGAAAGGAATGTTCGGATTGAGATGAACCATGGCACTACCACTCTGGCCTTCAAGTTCCAGCAAGGAGTGATTGTGGCAGTGGATTCTCGGGCTACGGCTGGGAGTTACATAGGTGAGTGTGTGTGTGTGTGCCAAGCGGCTGGAATCTGGGGAGCTGGGCCCTTTTCTCCGCAGGAGGCCCACATCTGCATCAAAGCAGAAGCAGATACTAATTTTGGATACACAGGGAGAGCTGTGGGGTGCATCCAACTCTCTCAAAGCTCCATCTCCTTCCAGCCAGCACAAGGGTTAACAAGGTGATTGAGATTAACCCTTACCTGCTTGGGACCATGTCTGGCTGTGCGGCGGACTGTCTGTACTGGGAGCGTCTGCTGGCCAAGGAGTGCAGGTAGGCTGGGTCTCATATCCCCCTCCTAAGCCCAGGGGTCAGTGGTGGATCCTGGAACCCCCAGATCACTGTTCCTCATCCTTTCCCCCGGGGCTAACGTAGCATCTTGGTGTTACTGTAGCATTTCACAAAACAGCCTTCTGTTGATTCGAAAACCTTCTCCCAAATCTCAGCCTGTGCTCTTGCCAATAAGCCAAATAGATAAGTTGTCACTTATTTAGCATTGATGTCATAAACCCTAATGGGATGGTGTCATTTACTAGGATTTCTTTATGTGGTTTAGATACTTTAAATTCCGAATCTCTCCCTGATCCTTAGATCCTACCAAACCATTCTTCTCAAATGCTTATCTCTTTAATTTTTTCCTGCACATCAAGCAGGCTGCTCTCTGAGAGCTAAACTTCTCCTATCCCCTCTGAGTCCACTGCCCCCACCACCCTGTTGTACCCAGGCTGTACTATCTGAGGAATGGGGAGCGTATCTCAGTGTCGGCAGCCTCCAAACTGCTCTCCAACATGGTGTTCCAGTACCGGGGCATGGACCTCTCCATGGGCAGTATGATCTGTGGCTGGGATAAGAAGGTGGGTGCTTTCCATTCTTCCTATTTTCCCATGACAAGTGAGAGACTGATTCCCCATCATACACTCCCACTCTCTCCCTTATAAGATGCGTGGCACGTAGAACACCGGGTTATAGAATTGTTCCAGCATACCCATGGACTATTTCTGGGTCCAGAGGTGGACCATTTTCCCGTAAGCTTGTTCCTTTGGATAAAATAGCTGACTCCAACTTTTTTCCCCTAAAGTTCTATGATTGTTACTAAAATGCTGGTTCAAATGTTCCTGGGTAATACTTATTCTTTTATCTACTTTTTATGGCTCACACTTGAACCTGTATGTTATTAAAAACTCCCTCTCCGACTCCAACGGGAAACTTCTTGCTTCCTGTAGGGTCCTGGACTCTACTATGTAAGCGAAGATGGGACTCGGCTCTCAGGAAGTATGTTCTCCACTGGCAGTGGGAACAGCTATGCCTATGGGGTTATGGATAGTGGCTATCGACCCGATCTCAGTCCTGAAGAAGCCTATGAGCTGGGCCGCAAGGCTATTGTTTATGCCACCCACCGAGACAGCTATTCCGGAGGTGTCGTCAACTGTAAGAGACACACCCTACACACCCCTAGATGGGGAAGGGGGATTTGAGATTGTGAGAGTTAGAGGAGATAAAGTGGTAGGGAAGAATCTTTCTTTCTTTCTGTCTTTCTCTCTTTCTTTCAGATTTATTTATTTATTTGAGAGAGAGCAAGCATGCATGGGGGTGGGAGGAGGGGGCAGAGGGAGAGAAACTTCAAGCAAACTCCCTGCTGAGTGTGGAGCCCCATGTGGGCTCCATCTCTTGATCCTGAGATCTTGACCTGAGACCAAACCAAGAGTCAGACGTTTAACTGACTGAGCTGCCCAGGTGTGGGAAGGAGGTTTTCAGCATCCAAAGAGGGGCATTGAAGTCCCAGTCTCAAGTATGTGTTGAGAGTATGTTTGGGAGTATGTTATTGTCAACTTCCACATAACGCCATGAACAGGAACTTGCTGGAGTGAATGGTGACTCCCTGTTCTTTCTCATCTGCCCACAGTGTACCACATGAAGGAGGATGGTTGGGTGAAAGTGGAAAGTAGAGATGTCAGTGACCTGCTGCACCAGTATCGGGAGACCAGTCAGTAATAGCGGTGGCTGAGCACGCCTTTTCTGGCACAGCCTGGCCAACTCAGGAACCTGGGCTAGTTTACACTCCCCAGGAGAGGGGAGCCTTAACCTGAGCCCTGAGGGAGAGAACCAGTGGGCAGTGTGAATAGGGTGGAGTTTATCCTCTTGTGTGTTGTCTGTTTCAAGGAGCATTCCCCTTACCCCACACTCTGGGTGCCCCACTAAGCTCAATAAAAGAAAATGGTTATAAATGCCTCTGTGTTGCTGCTGAGTGGACTTGGGGCTGGGGCGGTTGTGGGGTGGGGACAGGAAATAGAGAGGCTTTCCCTGAGAACAGACCTGAGCCCCAACCTAAGAAATGGGGCCTCACCAAATATTTCTGTTGGGTTTTCCTTCCACACTCGTCCCTCCATGCGCTCAGGAAGGCCGGTCAAGGTCTGTAGACACATATTTGCCATTTAATTTAGGTTAGGGTCCTTTTCATAGGAACGCAACCTGAAGACTCCTGTGTGGTTCACTGTTAATGGTTTGCGTGTCTGGGAGCAGGGTACTAGAACGACTTGTTTTTGACGTTGTAGAGTCAGATGAAAAAGCAGCCACCTCACTTGTTTATGGTGATTGGAAACGTGGTACATTTACCTCAAATAACATTTTGGGGACACTGGATATTGAATGCAGAGATGGACATTAGGGGTTCAATTTCATGATATGTCATGCTCAATTAATTGCAAGATGACAGGGCCATGACTAAAGAGCACTCCCTCCTTGGAAAGGGAAATATGAGGAAAAAGTAAGCAGGTTAGGAAAATGAGAAAGGCATATGAGTTTTTCTGAATCATGCAAGGAACATGGACAATGTCCACTCTTAGGGAGAGTTAGTTAAAGAAAAAACTTGAAAGCAATTAGCAGCTGAACAGGGAGCTTTTGTTTCCATTAAGGACAGAGTCTCCTTATCTCCAAATCTCAGAATGGCAAGCTTGGAGAAATTTTAATAATCCTCTTGGAATTATTAATTGGAATACACCTTGGAATACACCTCTCCCTTTAAACTAGAAGTGCCTCATTGGTAAACATACCAGTAACCTTTCAAACAGGTGGTTTGGAATCCAAGTGATCCTTCCTTTGGGGGTTTTCTGAGTTGGGGAGGTAGTTTCAACCTGAAGAGTTACTTCTGGAATAAACAAACCAGCATGTTCCATAGGTGGGCTCTGGGTCAGGCAGGACCCATAGAATCCTGTTTACCCCTTAATCAGTGTTAAAATAGACCAGGAAACAAAGTGCATCCTCCTCAAATGCCAGAGGTGCCCCAAGAGATAATCTGAAACACACCGTGGAGGCTCCTGAACTTGTGCTCTGCCCAGGGAGCTGTGTTGAGGAAGGCAGGTGAAGATAAAGAATCAGGACCCTTGGGGCGCCTGGGTGGCTCAGTGGGTTAAAGCCTCTGCCTTCAGCTCAGGTCATAATCCCAGGGTCCTAGGATCAAGTCCCGCATCTGGCTCTCTGCTCAGAGGGGAGCCTGCTTCCCTTCCTCTCTCTGCCTACTTGTGATCTCTATCAAATAAATAAATAATCTTAAAAAAAAAAAAAAAGAATCAGGACCCTTCCGCTCAAAATCTGTGTAAGTGGAAACCTACTGAGGTCCCGGTCAAAGTGTCTGGGACCTTCTATTTAGAAGAGGTCCTAAGTGTCTCTCGCTCAGAATCTGGCTCGGTTTTGATCCCAGACTCTAAAACTGGAGCTGAGGATAGAGGAAGAGGCAGTTCTCAAAATAGGATCAGAGCTCAAGGCAAGAAAATCCAGCGGTTCTCCAAATATAAAACATCTCATTCCTTGAAAGAGCTTTGTTTTAATTAATGAACTTAAAACACTTTGCAGGAGTTTTCTGCTCCAGAGTCATCGCTGCTAAGTGCAAGAAGCTCTGAGGGGCGGGGCGCGTCGCGTGTGCGCCCGGCTTGGCACTGGGCTTCCGCGGGCGGCAGGTGTCGCGCGTCCCCTGCTGGCGGCTGCCCTGCCCGAAGTCAGGGCTCGGTCTAGGGAAGCGAAAGCGAAAGCGGCGGGCGCCGGGACGCCCCCCGCTTGCAGAGGGCCGCCGGCAGACAGAAGGGGAAAACGAAGGAGAGCCAGGGCGAGCCGATTTCAGAGCTCGGTGCTCAGCACGGAGACGAAAGCCCCCCCGGAGCTGCAGTCCCGAAGCCGCCGCGGGTGAGTTCGCGCGGCCCGGAGCCGGGAGCGCTAACCGAAGCATCCCAACCCGCCACCCATTCGCACCCCCCGAGCCCCCGCACCCGGCCCTCTGGCCTCCCGGAGAGTGCTAGGGAGCCGGGCGGGGACCGCGGGGCGGCTCTTCAGAACTCGGTGGCGGCGGCGGCGGGCTGGGCGTAGGGCGGGGGGTGGATCACGGTTTTTTTGTTTTTTTTTTTTTCGTTTCTTTTCTTTTTTTTAAAGGCCGAGGCTCCCTATGACGGGCAGGATGCCTTCTGTCATAAGCCGGCCGTAGTGATGGGCACCGGGGACCCAGGGGATCATTCAGGGTAGGGGTGGGTAAATGGAGACGCTGACGGACGGGTTGAGCGGAGTCGGGGTGGTGAGCATAGGGCGAGGATTGGGACCCCACCTCCGTCATTCCTCTTCTCCCCCTAGATAACACCATGCGGTTCTCTGACCTGAGACCCTGCCCCTTCCTGCTGTTGGCTGACTCGGCTCTCCTCTGGCTGCTTCAGGGGACACTGGGGGCTCTCCTTCCCCCGGGGCTTCCAGGCCTATGGCTGGAGGGGACCCTGCGACTTGGAGGGCTCTGGTGGCTGCTAAAGGTGGGAGGACTCCTGGGATTGGTGGGAACACTATTGCCCCCGCTCTGCCTGGGGACCCCGCTGTTTCTCTCCCTGAGGGCCCTGGTCCCAGGGGCCTTGAGTGCTCCCCCAGTCAGAGTGGCTTCAGCCCCCTGGAGCTGGCTGCTGGCAGGGTATGGGGCTGCGTGGCTAAGCTGGGCCATGTGGGCTCTGCTGAGCTCCCCAGGAGCCCAGGAGAGGAAGCAGGGCCAGGAGAACAACACAGAATTGATGTGGAGGCTGCTGAAGCTCTCCTGGCCAGACCTGCCCTATCTCGTTGCAGCCTTCTGCTTCCTTATTGTTGCCGTGTTGGGTGAGTCCTGAAGGGGGCATTGGGAATCGGAGGTGGGCAAAGGTCCTTGGTGCCAGCATGTTCATCTATTCTCCTCCATACCGCTTTCAGGTGAGACATTCATTCCTTACTATTCGGGTCATGTCATTGACATCCTGAGAGGTGATTTTGACCCTGATGCCTTTGCCAACGCCATCTTTTTCATGTGTCTCTTCTCCATTGGCAGGTAGGTGATGCCTAATGGGGTTCATTTGCTAGCCTCTCATCTTTACGGGGGCTCTCCATTTCCTGACTCTGTTTTCAGATTCTTTAGTACACGAAGCATAAAATACTTAAACCAGAATATGTGTGAAAGTGTTTATTCACCCTTCTGTTTCACACTCTCAGCCACTCTTTCATCCACCCTATTTACCCAACATTATGCTTCCAATCCATACTTGCTACTCTTTGCTGAAGCCAGCTCTTCGGAAGCGACTCCCAGACCCATATTTCTACACCCAGCTCTAGTCTTGTAGTTCACCTGTCTTCTTGACATTGCCATTGGACAACCCACTGTCATCTCACACTCCACATACCCAGACCTTCAAATGTATCATTCTCCCTCCTGGTCTTCTTGAAAGTGGCTCCCTCTTTTATTCCCATGTACGAAACAACCAGGGTCCTAGGCTCCGTCAGTATTGTTGATGCCTTTCTGATGTTCAGACACTAGCCCCACCGTTTTCTGCTTTCAAAGTGTTTCTCCTCTGGCTCTTTTCTGGCCATTCTCATGGTAATTGCTGGAGTTCAAACCCTCCTCATTTTATGTCTGACTATCCCAACAGCCTTCTAAACATGGAAACCATATTTTGTGAAATACTTGCTTCTATCTTTCCCATTTTTCCTTTAAGTTTGTTATATAAATGGTTGGCCTAAGAGGAATTCTCAACTCCAGGGACAACAGAGGTGAGGGACAGCATGTCTCTGGGGCTCCAGAGAAGAGGAGGGCAACGGAATTCATTGCTGCAGTTCTCAGAGTAAAGTAGAAAGGAGGACTTTGGCGTGGGGAGGCAAGAGACCAAGACAGAGGGGGAGGGTAGAGGAACAGCGCTGAAGAAGGTGGGCTCTGGGTCAACCAGAACCGGAAGCTATTTCTCTTGACATGTCTTCGTTTCTATTATGGTCTTCCCTATGTCTAGCATGGAGTGAGCTCCACAGATAACTTGTGATTTTGTATACGTTAAGATTTTGTTCCCAAGTCTAGCTCTCCCTGTCCTGTTTTTCCTGCCTCTGTTTGTTCTTGCCCCTCCCCTTGTCCCCCCCCCCCGACCCCTCCCTCCCC